CACGAGTTCGTTCTAGAAGGCCTTGGAGATGCTCCTGAAGAAAAAATAATAGTGATTGATGTGAACTCAGTAGAATGTGGTAGACCAATTTCCAAGTCCGTGAACCTAAAAAAATACGAATTGAGGCGAATGTTCGCATTTCAGCCATGTGCATAAGGAGAAGGCTCATCGCTCACCGAAATTATGGTTTTAGTCGTCCTAACATCTCGAGCCTTAAATGTCTTCGAAACTACACACAAGACAGACTGGACGTGACGTTTTACCATTGACCCTAGGGCCGCTCATCCTGTCAGTTGCGAGGTTCACGCCACGTTAGCTACTGAGTACTCAGCGATAGGATATGCTGGGCCACCAGTGTGTGCGTGGGAAGGAGGGACAAGAATAAAGTCAACACTTAAGTGTCCGCCACGCTCCCTGCGAACCCGGCGTATTCCTCGTCATAACAACAAAGCTGACGCACTTCAAACAATAACGACGGGAAAAAATCTGGGTGGAAAAGTCGCCTACTCACGGAATAGTAGAGGAGTTAGGGTCGGAATGCTATAACTTCCTCCTTATGAGGCTTTAATGACAACCATTTGCGTGATATAAGAGAGATGCCCTCCCTTCCTTTATGTGCAGTTAGCGACTGGGTAGCGCGTAGTAAGCGCAAAGTAGCTGGCTGGTTTTCGTCAACCACTGCGTAAACGTCCGTCAATAATCTTGTGACTTAGTCTTGCCATTGGCGACGGGTGGCGTGAAAATACAGATCTCGGTGGGTAGAAGCAGTGCAAATCTGTTTCAGTATAAACAACCATACTTCCAAGTCACCACCGGTCCTCCTCCCTTCTACTGCTGGCTTTCATTGCTTAGGATGATAGAACTACCTAACTAACCTTGTGGTTGTTAATCGTAAGGACTGCTATTTCCACTGAAAAACATGCGAAGAGTCTATAGAGTGGTCTACAGGGGAGGCTGAAATGAACGTTTATGCAATTACTAATGAACACTGTCTTTGAGGTACAAAAACGGACGAGCCATGAGGCACAAAAAGGTAGATGGAAGAAAATAGTTCTCAATCTTTACTCAGTTTACGACATTCACCAAAACTGAGTCAGTCAGCACCATGAAATTTCATGAAATTGCAACGGTTTTATATGGATTGTGTTGCCCCTAACTGACAACACAGCCCGCAAGGATATGGCGGAAAGTGTTTATTTAGTGGTGGCTCTTGCTCACCAGGTCAGGGTCTTCACCGTGGATCTCACGGAGCAGTCAGTTTAACAGGCCTAAACACCCTCCTCCATATTCTGCTACCACAATCGCAACCCGCTGACTTTTACGTCATTTTGGAAAGATCCGGCTCGAGGCCTAAAAATAGGCTCACTTAAGTAGCCTGAGTCATGCTTGCCAGACTATGGACGTTCGCAGGCTGTAAAGAAAAGACAGCCACTGTTGGAGCACTTAATGCCGTAAGTTATTGTAAGAGCAAAGAAACGTCGACGAGGAGGGCAATACAGTTTATATAGCCTTAAAATCAGACGGAATAAATGACAGTCAGGGCAATTATACCTGAAAGTAGGACGGATAATCTTTGTATG